GCTGGAGACAAAAATGAGACTTGAATGTTGGGAGAGCAAAGGCTCTGCCCTGAAGGCAGCACAAACATGCCTTGACTGGGGCTGGAAGAGCCCCCGCTTCCCTCTGCCTGAGGGTCTCCCCCTCTCTATCTGATTGGGTGCAGCAAGCAGATAAATCAGTCTGATTTGCAAAATTAGACTGACAAATGGAAATGAGGGAGAGCTGTTGAAAGGAAGCTGAGGGCTGAGGGGCGGGGCGGGGTAGGTAAGGGCTGGAAAGTCTAGGTGATGGGAATTGGTGGCAAGAGCCATGAATCAGCCCTCAGTAAGGTGACCTTGAAGTTGTGGTTCAGGCTCCAGAGTCTGAAGGGTTCAAATCCCACTCCATCGGCCATTTGCTGTGTGATCTTGGGCCCTGATTCTGTTTCATCATCTGTAAAAACGGGGGGCGAGGGTGGAGGGGATAAATAGGATATAGGAATTTGGGGAGGATTAAACAAGAATCTGTGCAAAAGGCCTAGCCTGGTGTCTGGGCACATGGCAAACACTATTATTATAATTAGAACCCCCCCCCCACACACACTATTCCATTTCTCACTGGCGAGGGATCTCCACCCCCTCTCCAGCTCCATTTAGTTCTGAATGTTTTAGGTCATTCTATGCTTGGAGTTCTGCCAAGGCTCTGACAAAGACAGGAGTTTCTGCTCATTCATCCTAATGCAAGTTCCTGCGTTTATGATAATAGGGAAAAAATGTATGAAAGGGCTGGCTGCCTGTGGAGGGGAAATCTGCTTAGAATTGAAAATCTGAGTCCTTCGTTGGCCCAGCTCTCCCCTCCCAGCGCTTTGGCAAAGGCTGCAGAAAGGAGGGTGGCGGGGAGGAAGAGGAGGGGGAGGAAGGGGTGGGGGAGGAAGAGGCGGCCGAAGCGGACAGCAGGGCGGGTGGGGGGCAGGGGCAAGGCCCCGGCTCGCTTGGGTGAATGGGGTTTCAGGGTGGCTGAGGAAGCCTGCCAAAAAGGCAGAGTGAAAAGGCCAGGCCCCGGGTGGCGCAGCGCGCGGTTTCCATGGCGACACCAGCTGCTGCCTGGGCCGGGCTTGCTGGCTCCTTCCGCGGGGCCTCGTCTGCCACCACATGGTTACCCAGCTCGCTGAGGAGGAAAGCTCTGACGGGTCGTTTTGGCCCAGTGCGTCACCAGCCAGTGCCACCACGTTCTGGGCACCATGCTGAGCTCCTGCGGGAGGGGATGGGGGCGGGGTCCAGGGAGGTCTGTGTAAACCTCTGGAAGCTCATGCTTCATCCAGCCCAGCGTGGAGGGAGGGGCTGCCACCAGGACAGATAGGAGAGGACAGGGACAGGGATGTAGATGGGGCCAGGCCAGGCCTGTGGCCCTTCGGGGAGAAATGGCAAAGCCAGATGTGTTTGTTAAAGATGTCTGTGCCTACGGTAGAAAGTGGATGAGGTGGTGGGAAGTGAGGCGGATGGTTAGGGTTCGATGAATGAGAAGTTAAGGGGAGGCCATACAGCAGCCCAGCCTTGGGACAATGGCCTGACCTAGGGCACCAGCAGGAGGTGGGAGATCAGAGCTCTTTAAGAAACACAAGTGGCTGTATCTGATGCTTGGGTGGAAAGGATGTGCAAGTGTCTAGGACACCTCGCAGGGCAGCAGGTAGGTGGGGGCTGTGCTCCCCAAGACAGAAAGTAGGGACATGAACTGTCCCAGAAGAGGACAGGCCATGCTTGTCTAGCTTCTCCCCCACCCCAGACCCCATCAAGGGCTAGACCATGGTGAAGTTGCTGACATTTGATGAAAGGGGAAGAGGTAAGAAAGTATGGGAAACAAGAAATAGTTGGGTGCTCCACCCAGACACACATGGCCCCCCAGATGCACATGACCTGAGGGAGCCAGTGCCCAGACAAAGCGATATTGGCCCCTCACGGGCAGACAAGACATACATCTTGCTGAACTTTATCCTAGATGTGCAATCATTTTGTTTTGCTTTGGTCATCTTAGTATCCAAATCAGGTATCACGCATTTCAGTTCTCTTTTGTCTCTACTCCCGGCAGAGTTCCTTTTACAAGCCATGTCAGGGTGGAGCCCTGTTTCCTGCACCGTAAGATAGGTCTACCTGTGAGGGAGCCGGTTCACAGGCCCCCTTGTTTTAAGTAAGCAGATCAGGCAGGGGGATTGAACACAGAGGACCCGGCAGTGCTGACCTCATGCTCTCCAGAAGGGATCTCTGCTGCTTTCCTGTATGCAACATGCCCAAGAGGCTGAGACCGCTGGGAGGTTCTAAAGGGCTCAGGGACGCAGCTTCCCAGGGATACAGCTACCTGTGTCATTTTTGTGGGGCCCCAGCTGTTCAAGAATACACTTCATTAAATCCCTCCCACCTCTTGGTTTCCTACTCATAGCTTCTTAATCTTTGCTGATAAAACAGGGGTGGATGAGGGGCAGTTGGTGCATATCCAGGCCTGCCTGGGGCCACAGCCCTCAGACCTCCTTGACCACCTTCTCTACCATACTGCCTCCCTCAAGCTCTACTCCCAAGACCCAGTTTCAGTTTTTGCTGTACCCTTACTACCATCTATAATTGTTTTGTTGTTTACTTGGTCATTACCAAATGTTTATAATGTGAGTGTACTGTCCTTGAGGCAGGGACTTTGTCGGTATGGTTTACCACTAAAGTCTCAGTCCCTAGAATGGTATCTGGCTGCCAGGACAAGCCCAGTTTTTGCTGAAGAAATTACTAAGTGAGTGAGTGAACAGATTAAAACCATGAGACCTAGCCAGTTTTTCTTCAATGCATTCCTCCTCAGATGGGGTTCAGGAGGCCCTTGGGTGGTTTCCATGTCTGTCTCTCTGTTTCTAAGGAGGGCTGGATTCCAAATACCCCTGTAGACTGGACAAGGGTGTCATTTATCATCCAACACATAGTCCCTGTGTGCCCACAGGTGCCAGGGATACAGCAGGTCCAGCAGGGTCCCGTTCTCATGAAGCTTATATGTTAGAGTGATAAACAGACAGTAAAGTAAATGAATGAGTGAGTGAGTAAGTACATTGTAAGTGACACAGATGAAATGGAAAAAGCCGTATAACAGAGAATCTCATTAAAGTAGGGTAGTCGGGGAGGTCTTTCTGAGAAGGTAATACTCTACCTGAGACCTGAAAGTTGAGAAGAAGCCAGGCCTGTGAAGAGCTAATAGAATGATGTTCCAGGGAGTGGGATTGGCATGTGCAAAGGCCCTGGGGCAGGAAAAGGCTCAGCATGTTCCAGGAAGCCAGTGGTCAGGGAGGTAGGGCAGAATCCAATGTTGAAGGGCCTTATAGCCAGTGGTGAGGAATTTGGTTTTTTAATTGAGGTAAAAGGACCACCATTGTTAGGTTCACCCAGGTGAATGATGGGATCTGACCCAGGCTTTGGCTTCTAGGTGGAGAATGAATTGGGGGGTGGGATGGAAAGCAGGATCTGGAAGTGGAGAGCACAGTGTAGAGGTAAGAGGTCAGGGCAACTTAGGTTAGGGTGTTGGCCATAAGGATGGAGAACAGTGGGTAGAAATGAGACCTGGCTGGGGTGGGACTGAGAGGACCAGTTCAGGGTTGGGGTGGAGAGGGAATGAGACAGGTCTCCAGGACGCCCAGGTCTCTGGCCTGAGGCATCCAGTCAACCTGGTAAACAATGGCATGTCCAGCTGCTGTCAGAGAAAGATCTGGTGTTTACTGGACATGTGAGAACTTTTCCTCTAAAGTCCACCAAGCTGGGCAGTAAAAGTTTCCACTCTTGCTACATAAAGCTGCTGTGTGCAGGGCACGAGATGCGGTGTCATGAGCAGAGCTGGAAAGTGTTATTATCAACAGTGCAGTATAGTTTTGAATCATCTAATTCTTTCCCCAAATCTGGCATTTGAAAAAAAGCCTAGACCCTGTGGTTGGAGAGCCAGTTCTCTACCTCTGAAAGGCCTCCCTACTTCAGGGGAGCTGTTTCACGTCCCCAGAGGGCAGAGGCAGATTGTGAGAGGCTCAGGGATGGAGATTCTAGCTCAGCACAACAAAGAGGAGGTTGCTAATAACCAGCACTTTCTCATAGGGATGATCCTCCCATCACTGGGTGTATTCAAGCGGAGGCTGGCAGGAGGCTGGGGCCTCCCCAACCGGTGAGCCAGTCAGCAAGGAGACTGAGTTCCTGTGGTCGTGGACACCCCTTTCCTCTAGCCTCCCTGCATCTCCAGAGGACAGCAGCTGCCTCCCCCGTCCAGCACAGAAACCCCTCTGCCGGCTGGTGGAAGACTAAGCAGCTAAGTCACAGCTAAGCCTGCCCTGCTTGCTCTGGCTTTCAGGATCTCTGTTTCCTCCACGCGCATGGCCAGGAGAAGAGCAAACCCCAGCGTGGGCGGAGCAGTGGGGCTGTTCTGATGCTGTGCAGGCCTGTCCAAGTCCTCCTGGCTTTTCAGGAAAGGGCGTCCTCGTGTCTGTGGGGCTGCTAGAGCCAGGCATGATCGCCTGAAACAACTCCACTCGCAGGCTTGACTCCTGCAGGGACACTCCAAGGGCGTCACGGATGCGAGGAAGGGGCTCTCCTGCCTAAGCTCCTGGGGCAACCCCAGCTCCCTGACCTCTTCCCAGCACTGCTCACCAGAATTGCTGCAGCAGCTGCCCCTCAATGTATAGAACCTACCCGGGGAGCCCTCAGGGACAGGGGCCTGCACAGGCCAAGACGCAGGCTGCTTGGTCACTGCTGGGGCGGAGAGCGGGCTGACACTTCCAGAAGGCTCTGATCTCTGGCAGGCCTGATTGCTTTGCTCCGCGGCTGGTCCCAGCTGCTGCAGTGGATCTCTCTGAGCTGCTGGAGGGGAGAGAGCTGGCATCTAGTGTGCTCTGGGGTTGGGGGGAGGCTGTGCTTGTAAGAGTAAGATCCTTCTTGGTCTGAAGGAGCCCTGCCTTTGCTGATAGGACTGCAAACTTCTGTTTTGTCACAACAACAACAACAACAGAGAAGGCAGGAGGGAGGGTCAGCTGCTGAGCTGTGGCCCCACCGGAGTGGCCCAGACTTTCCAGTGGGTGCCATAGAGGAGGAGGGCCTAGCTGAGTGGGATCCCACCTCCCTGGGCTGTGGCCCCACACCTAGGGGTCGGAACAGGGATAGCAGATTAGTGTTCCAGACTTCTCAGATTGGAGGCCCAGCTGAGAGCTGGGGGTGGGGGTGCGGGGGCGGTGCTGGCTGGGGGCTGCCCTGCGGGGGTGGGGTCGGGTAGGGCAGGGCTGGAGGCTCTCTAGCTCTCCCAGCCAGCCGACCCTGTTATTTTTAGCTCTGGAATGCTCCTCCTAAGCCCCCTTCAGTTCTGTTTATCTTGCTTTTGTGTCCCTGTTTCTCTCTGGGAAACTCTACAGCAGGAATGGGATAAATGGAGGGGAGGGAGAGGAGATTAGGGTGGCCAGAAAGAATAGGAGAAATTGGCTGGGGCCAGGCTGGAGGAAGAGGTGGGTGCTGCTCCACCCCGCCCTTCCCCCAGCTCCAGAGGCTGCCTCTTTCTCCTTTCTGCATTTCTTGGGTTTGGGGCCACCAGGCAGTCCCCTCCTCCTTCCCCACCACCACTGATAAGACTTCCTCTGTGCCGGAGACTTCCAGGCCCTGGACAGCCCCATCCTCTCACCTTTCCTCCTGGGACCTCAGGTGACTGGCATCATGCCTAGAGAGGGGTGGGCGGCAGGGCCAGGACGCACTGTGGAGCCCTTTAAGGAACTCCCTTGTGAACATGAAGGAGAGGAACAGTGGGACTGGGGACAGAGCTGGTGTGAACTTGGAACCTCAGTTGCGTCCTGTGTGAAACGGGAATGACACCCGTTCTTCTCTCTGAAGGACCGTTGTTGGGCCTGCGTGAGACGGTGGATATGAAACACTATTGACGCGTGGAAGCTGTTTGAGAGAAGTTAGCCTGCGGTTGGAGGAGGGTGCGTGAGTCTCCTGGAGGCTTTTTAGCCGCACTTGGGGAAAGCCACATCCCTCCCCCAGCCTCCCCTGGGTGCCGCCAGCTGCCAAGGCTCTTGTAGGAGTGCATCACTCACCCACTGCTCCTCTTCCTCCTGCCCCCTAGACACAGGGATGCTGGGGAGGAGGAGCACCTGTGGGCTGAGGAGGGGGGCTTCCAGAGGACATGCTTCCCGCCAGCCCTCAGTCACAGACCCCAGACCTCAGGGCCAGCAGAGGAGAGGGGCAGTGGCTGGAGGCAGTGAGGAGTGGGAAGGGGAGGGGAGTGGAATCCTGAAGTTTACCGTGGTGATGGTTTCCTGACTGGGGTGGGTGCGCTGTCTCTTCCTGTCCTTTCCTTTAAGTCGCCTTCTTGGAAAATCCCACCAGCCCCCGTGGAGGGCCTGGCATCACCTGGAGCTGGAACTCAGGGGAAGAAGCCCTGGCGGTCAGCAGGGAGCCTTGGTTGTCCTGAGGCTGAAGGAGCGGCAGGAGCATTCTGGCCACTGGCTGCGGTCAGTTGATAAATGGCTGTTCTCCAGTGGCCGGCTTGAAATACCATGTGTAAAAGTGGGGTGGGCATGCCCAGGCCAGTCCTGGGTATAGGAGAGGGAGGGGGAACCATCTGGGGTGACCACTGTCCCCAGGCGTGGGACTGGCACCACTTAGAGGTGGAGAAGAGGCAGCAGCTGTCCCATCCCGGAAAAGGCACTGACCTTTAGAGCAGGAGACAGAAATAGCCGGGGAGAGGCTAGAACCTCTGTGGGAGAGAAATCCAGGCCGGGCAGGGGCAGGCCTGGACACGAGGAAGGGAAGGAAGCCCTACTCATACTGGCCACTCCAGACACTGTGCTGGGCATTTCATGTACTTCTACTTATTTCCCACCTCCAGCCTGCAGTGTGTATTATCTCCATTTCACAGGTGAGAAAACTGAGGCTCAGAGAGATGTGGCCAGGCTGGTCGTCAGCAGAGTTGGGAGGAGGACTGAACCAAGCCCAGCTGGTCTGACCATCCACTACCCACAGTGCCTGCAGCAGCCCCTTCCACACACAGTGACTTCTGTCATCGTAGTGGGTGGGGTATTCAGCTGAGTTGGCACTTGCTGCCGGCCTGATGTAGGGGGAGAAGAAATGCCGTCAATGAAGTCTGGAGGCCCCAAAGGTGAACTTCAACTACTGCTGTCTTTTAAGTGACCCCGAGCCTCTGCACCTCTGCAGCCTGTGACCAGGACTTCCTTTCCTCCCAAACAGAAAGACGGAGGCTCAGCAGTCCCCCGCCCACTTTCCCCAAACTGTGCTGGGCTTCGGGCTGGGCAGAGCCCCAGGAGACCCCACCTCTGCAGCAGTAGCAGGAGCAAGCTTGGGGGAAAGGCCCCAGAGTCTGGTAAGGAAGGCGAGAATAGCAGGCTCAAAATAACGCTGCCTGGCTGACTGGCTCCCCTGTCTGCCCTCCCCACTGACAGCTTCCCAGCCCAGGCAGCTCCCAGCTGTTTCTGCTTATCTGAAGCCAGGGAGGCTGGTTGCCTGGATACCAGTGCTTCTGATTAGTGGTTGGCTCCTTGTGGGGGCAGGCGGAACTGCCGCATCCCAGCCCGCTGGGCGTGGCATCCGCAGGCTCTGCTGAACTGGCCCTTGGAAAGGTGTCGAGGGAGGATTCGGGCAGTATGGGGGAACGCTTGGGAAAAGACCTCTTTGCCAGGAGTTGGCTCAAAGCAGTGCTTTAGAATCAGAAAATACGGGCCTTGCCACTTGCTGGCTGTGCAACTTTGGTCACGTTAACTTCTCTGAGCCTGTTTCTTTATCTGTGAAGAGGGATAAATATCCCCTGCTTCAAAGAATTGTTTAAAGAGTAAATGTGATGATTTGATGCGTGCTCAGAGCACAGTTCCCTGATGATCTTAACCCCCTACCCTCACCTGCCACAGCTGGGCCCCTCTGCATCAGGTGGTCTGTCCGTGTCCTCCAGGGAAGCTGTGTGGGGTCACTGAGGCAGGCAGCTGTGAAACCTCGGAGGAACCTGGCTTCAGGAAGAGGGCTTGCCACCCCTGCCCGGTGCCCCCAGTGCTTAGCTGGGGCCGGGGAGGTGGGCACAGGCATGGGTTAGGGAAGACTGGACAGGAGAACAGCCACTGGGAGTGGGGCGAACACAGCCCAGAGGTGGCAGCAGCCCAAGGTGGCCTGTTACTAGCCCTGGGATCAGAAGAGAGCAAAGCTATGGGTGCAGGAATGTGACCAAGAAGACATGTTCTTCTGTCTCCTTAGGTCCAGTGGTCTCTGAGGCACCTGCTCACTGGAAAGGCAGAGCCCTGGGCTGTGAGCAAGATGAGAGAAACCTGAATACACTCTACAGAAAGAATTTTCCCCAGCTCATCCCTGAGCTTTCCAGAAACCCTCTGCAGAGCCAGGCCCATGGAGCTGGCAGCTGGTCTGGATGAGAAGCAGCAAATGGCTAAAGGGCGCCAGTGACCCCTGGAGGTTGCGTGGCCATCACAGACCCTCTTCTTGACCCTCTTGACTTAAGAAAAGGGCAGAGAATAAAAGGGATGGTGGGAGGGGCACGGAGGGGCGCGCCATCTCACCAGGGCCTTTACTTTCTCTCTCTCTGAATGGAGTGTGAGATCAGCCTGTGCTGCAGCAGAGGGTGTGGAGTCCATGAATAATGCAGAGAGGAGCGTGGGGCAGCTAGAAAGTGGTTACCATTGCATTGGAGCAGGGAATGGGCCTTGAATACAAAACAGAGGGGAGACTGAGGGCTGGAGCCCAAAGAGGAGAGCTCAGTGCTGCCCTTGGGGCTCTGGGTTGAGAGACTTGCTACCCGTCCATTGGGCCCAGGTGCTGCACAGGTCTCCCTGGGCATCTGCAGCAGCCCTGGGCCTGCACACCGGGATCAACTGCTGGGTGTGCCCCGGGCCTGGCCTTCCAGCTGGTTAGGGCAGAAGGAGGCAGTGCCCCAGTCAGTACCTTCCCAGAGGAGCTGGCGCCGGCGAGCAGGGTGGAAGGAAGGCTTAGAGATGAACTTTCTCAGGGAAACTGAGGGCAATTCCAGAGACTGGGGCGGGGGGTCACTTCTAGCAGCTCAGGATTTGGGGGAGTTCTAAAGGAGGGGTGTTGCTTAAGAGTCAAAAGAAGAAAGTGAATGTCACCAGGAGGGATCTAGAGTAGGTCTGCGTGAAAAGGGCCCCCAGCTCTCCTGCACGAGAGCCCTCTCTCTTGCCCAGGAGCCCTCAGAGTTACACCCCTGCAAATCTATGGAATATTTGAACAGAAGAGAGACAAGATCAGATGTGAGCAAGCAAGTCCGCTCAGGCTACTAGGTGGAGACTGCAGGTGGCCAGGAGACCTGGATCATATTATTGTGTCGTGTATTGTCCTGCAAGATCAATAAGCCATTTATTCTCTGCTCACCTCTGCCTCCATACTTGGTGGTCACACTGTGATTTGGGAGAGAGGGAATGCAGGGGCCAGTGAAGGGACTGCCAGAGCAGTCCAGTGCCAGAGGCTGGTGTGGCCGAGGTCTGGGCAGCAGCTGAGGGGCTGTGTCCGGAGGTAGAAATGACCACTCTTGGTGATCAACTCAACATGTGTATGGGGAGAGAGGCCTCAAAGGAGACCCCCCAGCTTCTGGCCTGGGCAACCGGGTGCTGGGTGGATGGGGGTGCCTTGTATCCAGAAGAGAAGCCCCGAGGCTCTGGAGCTGGGAGGTAGAGGAAAGATGCCGAGTTTGATATTCCTCTGAGGTGACCAGCTGGCCATTGAGAATCAGGTCAGGGATCTGAGACTGGGCCTTGCTGCTGTGATGGGCTCCCTCTGAGGACAGACAGGCGGCCCAGCTCTTGCCTCCACCAGCCCACAAGAAGGAAGGGGTCAAGTGAGGCTCTATTAAGGTCCTTCTGACTGGGGCCTGGGGCTATGGGTATTTCTGTCATCCAGAGCAGCCTCCCTGCCAGGAGGGGTCCGGCTGCCTCCTTTGCTCATCCAATTTGTGAAGCCCAGGGCACCCCGAGGCCTTTCTTCTCTCCGCTTGCAGTCAGGCCCTGGAGCAGCCCCATGAGACTCTTTTTTGTGGGCAGCACCCAAGGAAAGGATTTCTCCTCCACCACCTCCTTCTCTGCCAGCAAAGTGCCCTGAGGGCCTCGGGTGCCCTGGCAAGAGGTGCC